CTTATCGATCAGTCTATCTGTCTGTCTGTCATCTATCATCTATCATCTATCCATCCATCCTCCTCCCTCCCTCCCTCCCTCCCTCATTTTTGAGACAGGGTCTCACTGTAGCTCCAGCTGGCCTGGAACTCACCCTGTAGACCAGGCTGGCCTTAATCTCACAGAGATATGCTTGTCTCTGCCTCCCAAGTGCTGGGATTAAAGATGTAGACCACCATGCCCGGCTCTTTTGTTTTTCTAATTAGTAAATGTTGCTGTTTCATCCTTCTACCTTTACATGGGCTCCAGGGATTGAACTCAGGTCACCAAGCCTGCATAGCATGCACCTTTATCCACGGTGCCATCTCATTGACCCCGTGTTTAATTTTCTTTAAAGCACCCATCATGATAGGAAATGAACATTTTCAGTTACTGGCTTCCTTGTGTCCTCCAGTTAGAATGATAGACCGATGAAGGAAGTTTGTGTGATTTCCTGTTATATCCCAGTGTTTAGAACAGTATGCAGTGCAGAGTGTGTGGTAAATGCCTGTCCAGTGAATGCTCTCCTGCCACTGGCGGTTTGTGGGGAGAGTCTGTGGAGAACAGCTGTTGTCTGCATCCCCTGAAGATAGGTTGCATCGGAGAGTGCTCTGTGATCCTGTAGTTGTGACCTCCTTGTTTTCAGTGAAGATGTTCACCAGCCAGGCTGCCTGTCCACCGCTGATGCACCAGATACTTCCACAGATGGACATTTCTCTGGATATTCTCATACCTTAGAAATAATAGTAGTGGGGCTGGAGAGACAGTGCAGGGGTTAATAGCACTGACTGCTCTTACGGAGGACTGCGGTTCAATTTCCAGCACCCACATAGCAGCCAGCAACTGTCCATAACTCCAGTTCCAGGGTATCCAACTCCCTCTTCTGACCTCTGAGGGCATTGCATGACAAGGGTGCACTTACATATGTTCAGGGAAAACACTCATACACATGTAATAAAAATAACAAAGAAATAATTGCTGGGCATGGTGGCCCACGCCTCTAGTCCCAGCACTTGGGAGGCAGAGGCAGGCAGATCTCTGTGAGTTCAAGGCCAGCCTCGTCTAAAAAGTGAGTTCCAGGACAGCTCGGGGTACAGGGAGACCCTGTCTCAAAAAGACCAAAAAAAAAAAAAAAAAAGCTCTCACCTAGGAACATTTAGGGTTCAATGTTATAACACACATGAGATATTATCATAGAACAGAAACCAAGCACTGCTCAAGGAATGTTGGTTGTATCAATTACTCATTAACTTACCTAGCTTGTTTTTTGCAAAAGATACCCCAGGTGCATGCCAGACCAGCACTTCTGACAGTGGAGTGACTGCCACCCTGTTTCTAGTGGCCACTGGAGTGGGAAGTTGTGTTTGAGATGTGCATTGGTTTCCAATGACCACTGCAAAGTGGGCAACTGTCTTAGCATCTGCTAAGCCTGCACCTTCCATTTGACCAACTTCAAGTTTAAGTGGGAGATTCAGTTTCTCAGACCAGTACATAATGACTATATATGACTGGTAACTGTCACAGTGGACTGTACTGCTGTGAGTGAGCTTCACTCCTACAGAAAGTTCAACTCTCAACAGTGGGGACATGGGAGAACAGTGTCTTCTCTGCAGTAGGAGCCAGGGTTGGTCTGTTTCTTCTCTACGTGTTCAGTTATAAATCTGGAGTAGTTTCTGAGAGCAATATAACATTTTATGGACTCTTTGAAAGTTCCTCATCAGAATGACTCATTAATGTTATTTATGAATTATTTGCTCACAAACTTTTTTCCTTGTTGAGAACATATGGTTGGTGAGAGAACATGCTGGATGCCTGTTTTCTTGTGTATTTATAACCAAGTGCCTGAAGGACACAAGATACTGTTTTATTTATTTTATTTGAATTATATGCCAGAGAGTAAGCTTTGGTTTCCAGTGCTTCTGTTTATAGTGTTAAGAACAGCTTTCCTCAGCAAACCCTGAATCCATCACTCTAGAGTCCAGCCTTGAAAGACAAAAGAAAAACGAGGAGGAACCCAGTAGAGGGATGCTTTTGGAAGCCCTTGTCAAGAAATTCCAGTGGACTCCAATTTTCTTTTCCCCTCAGAGATAAGAGTTATGCAATTTGGGAGTCTTTTAAATATACCCACTGAAGGGGTACTCCAATTGCCTCAGCCTGCATCCCTGTTGAGCATGGAGGAAATCAAAGTGGTCTGCATCCTGATTCCATATCTGCAAGCTGGCTAACCTCTTCAGAGGATGGTGTGATAAGAGAATAGGAGGTAGGAACTAGCTGGGCAGTTAGGGTAAAAAGACCCCAAAGAAAAGCAGCCAGTTTCTTGGCTAAGACTCACAATGTCCTTGGGCCTCAGCAACATACTCTGTAACATTCCCCCTTCTGAAGAGATAACCCTAAAATCTTTTAAGGATTATATAAAAGCTTCTGTTTTTGGTCTTCATCCTGCCAGGCAAGTGCTCTGCCAGCACGCGCCCAGTGGACTCCTTCTAAAGTGCTCTACCACCGTGTGTCCAGTGGACTCCTTCTAAAGGGCTCTACCACCGTGTGTCCAGTGGACTCCTTCTAAAGGGCTCTGCAACCGTGCGCCCAGTGGACTCCTTCTAAAGTGCTCTACCACCGTGTGTCCAGTGGACTCCTTCTAAAGCACTCTACCACTACATGTCCAGTGGATTCCTTCTAAAGGCTGGAAGTTCCCAGAACCAACAAACAATCAGATTATCATGTGTGGACAATCTCTAATTTTTCTGCCTTAAAACAAATGTTATTGCTGGGTGCTGGACGTGGTGGTGTGTACCTTTAATCCCAGCCCTCAGGTGGCAGAGGCAGGTAGATCTCTGCAAGATTGAGACCACCCTCGTTCACGTTGTGACTTCTAGGCGGGCTATGACTAGGAAGACCCTGTCAAAAAACAATCAACAGCAACAACAAAACCCACAAATGTTATCATTTACAAAATCAGATCTGTAGATTCTAGCAACTCCTGTGTGTCTATCAAGATGCTCAAAAACCTCCATTTCTTCTATGCAAACACAAAGACGCAGACTCCTAAACTTTTTCTTCAGACATTAATTTCATAGTTGAGCATTGCCAAAACAAGCAAAGAATTTCCCTGAGTCTCTAGAAGCGCCGTGCCTCTTTCCTTCCAGATCCTCGTGTTTGTCTTTCCGTATCACTGTAGCATCATGATGAAATCAGCAAGCTGACCCCAGTGCAGCACCATAAGCTACTGATTGCGCCCAGGTGTTCTCTGTCACATCCTCTGCAGAGCTCCTGTGTCCTCATGTCCTCTAACCCTCTGCTTCCTTGATTGGCTTTCTTTGATGACTTTCACCTGGAGCATGTGGCTAATTTCATCTTTTCCAGCTGCAGCAGTTTGCTGAGGCCCTCAGTGCTTCCAATTGTGGTGTCGGCCATGGGTTTAGTTTGTTCAGAGTCAGGTGATCACTGCCTCAGCGAGCACTGTCCACTCCCCAGAGAACAGCACTCCTGATGAGAGAACAGCACTCCTGATGAGAGAACAGCACTCCTGATGAGAGAACAGCACTCCTGAGTGAGGCTTCCCATCCCTCTCCACTGATGCTTAGGCAGTCTTTGTATTTGTATTAGTTACTTTTCTGCTGCTGTGATAAAGCACCATGACCAAGGGAACTAATAAAAGGAAGAGTTGATTTGAGCCTCTCAAAACAAATATCCAAATTCTTGGCACCTATGGGGGACATTCTCATTCAAATCACCACAGTATTTTTTTTTTTCTTTTCTCCTTTTCTTTTTTGAGACAGTGTCTCCCTATAACCCCAGCTGGCCTAGAACTTAGTATGTAGACCAGGCTGACCTCACACAGAGATCCGCCTGCCTCTGCTTCCTGAGTGCTGCGATTAAAAGCGTGTGCCACCACACCTGGCTAGTCTTTATATTTTTTTAATAAATTTTTTGTAAAAGATTCTTACCTCAATTTGGGTGTGTTACATTGTTGTACACTAATGCTGTTGTGTGATCAGTGGAGTTGTGGATGAATGCACCTGGTCCTGTCAGTCCACCCTCCATGTACTTGGAAGGCACTTTTGGTCTCCTTTCCTTGTGCTCCTGTGGCACCTTGGGAAATCTTCCTCGGTCACTCATATACTGCAAGGGAGCTTTATAGTGATCTTTCGTTTCCAGCGTCTGAACAGACTACCTGACACTAGGTATAATTCCACTGAAATAATTAAAAAAATTAAAATAGTAAAGCCGAGCATTTGCTTTATTTGCCCTTTAGTATTAGCCTGCTCCTTCCTATAACTATCACTTTATACCCAGTAACTTGAAGCTCTGTGGGAAGAGATATGTTTGAATTAAAATTATGCTTCAGCCCATTTTGAGCCTATGTAGATAGTTGTTGCCTGGCTTTTCCTTGGCAGATACAAGTGTCTGTTCAACCAGTTAAGATACGGATAATAGACCAATGATAGAATTCCACCCAAATGTTGCATGGTGAACCAAGGAGTTTATTGAGGTTATTCAGCTGAGTAACTTGGGTGACTTGGGAGCTGCAGCACTGAGAACTGTCCCCAGTGTGGGTGATGACTCAACAGAGCCACATCACTGGGGTTCTATGTGCGGCCTAGAGCACCCAGCAGGAAGGGTCTCTGCTCCCTAGCAGAATTACTGATGGTGGGCAGGAGTCTGATGAAGTGTAGGAACTCCTGGAGCATCCTGAGTCTTGTGAGTCTTCTGCTTCTGCAAGGTGATGTTTCCCTTTGTGTAAACAGCTGTGCAGCAGGAGTCTGCGCTGACACAGATCCTGGCAGACTATAGACACTGCTTTCTTCACTTGTGAGATGCTGAAGTATTTCTTCCAATGACAAAATGTTAGTCTAGAATCCTTTTATCTTCAAATGGGCCAGTTCAACAGAACCTCTGCTACTGTTCTTAGAAATGTGTACGGTGATTCAAGCCAGAGTCTGAAGTTCTCCTCTGTAAATTTGCCTGTTTCTTTTCTTTCCTAGGTTCAGCAGATAGATCGTGTGGTAGAAGTTGTGGAGGAGACAATTAAAGGTAATTGTGGAAAGTAACATAAATCGATGTGCTTTCAGAACTAAAGTTCTAAAATACCCTTCAGGTAATATTGATCATTTTTTAAAATAAAAACTTGTTATTTAGACCTAAAATCATAAATTTTGTTCCTGGTCTCAAACATTGACTGGGAGGTAGACATTTGTTGAGCTTACAAGTGAAGCAGTGAGTCCCTCATGGATCTTTATAAAACTTTGTTTTAGTTATTCTCTAAAATTGACGTAAATTTGATCTCAGATCAGAAGATAGAATTCATTCCATTTCACATTATGGGAAGTTTTTGGACTGAGGCTTCAGCTCAGTGATGGAGGACTTGCCATGAAATATGAGGCCCTAGGTATCATTCCCTAGTGCTGAAGGGGTGATTGAAAAATAAGAATACGGAGGAAAGGAAATTTATTTCTCCATTTTCCTGTCACGTAAATTATTTGGAGTTTGCTCTTTATGAAAAATACTTTAAGGTAGTATTGAACGCTGATACGTTTATTGACAGTTGTGGTTTTCTCTGAAGGCAGCACTGTGCTCTACTCCGAAGTTCATTGTCACTCAAACAGGCTCTTTTCTTGTTTTGCTTTGTTTTGTTTGAAATGGGATCTCATGGTGTAACCCTGGCTGGTTGGAAACTTGCTGTATAGACCAGGCTGGCCTGGAACCATCTTCTGGAGGCCAGTGCATGGCACACATTTGCTTCTGAATATTTTCCAAACACGATTACATTTCCTTTGGGATATGTTGGATAAAAGAAACATGTCTACTTTTCCAATTAAATAACAATTTCAATATATGTATCTTGTTGTTAAATGCAGTCTCCAATATGGCTAGTATATTCTGTGTATAGTGTACAAAAGTCTGTACATTGCTTTTTTAAAAAATATTTTATTATTTTTATTTTTTATGTGTATAAGTGTGTTGCCTGCATATATGTGAGTGCACCCATGTCATGCAGTGCTGCGGAGGTCAAAAGAGGGCTTTGGATTCCCCTGGAACTGGAGTTAAGGATGGTTCGTAGCCACCATGTAGGTGCTGGGAACCGAACCCAGGTCCTCTGCAAGAGCAGTCAGTGCTCTTAACTGCTGAGCCATCTCTCCAGCCCCCAACAATTCCAATATATGTATCCTGTTGTTACGTGCAGTCTCCAGTATGGCTGGTATATTCTGTGTATAGGGTACAAAAGGCTGTACATTGCTTTTTTACATGTGGGAATACGTTATAGCCTAGCTGGTGAAGTAAATCGGTGATAATCTTACCTCCCAGTGGGTGCAGGAAGCAGGGGTTCAGTAGCTCTGCTTAGTTTTCCATGATCCTGTTTATTTACCATGTTAATAAGGTGGTTGCATCTTCAGTCAGATGTAGATGGGGATTGGCGCACACCACTGGGCAGTGTCTTAGTTTTCACTAACACACCAGTAATTGTTTCCTTGATTTAATTGTTGAAGACAGGAAAACGAATACTTTAAAACCAAGCCGCATAGACTTCCCAACTCAACGTTTCTCTAAGAAGTCCTCTAAAAACTGAAAATAGAATGACCATATGACCGAGCCTGTTCCACTCCTGGTTATCTACCACAGGACTCTACACACTCCCACAAAGATACTTGCACATCCATATTTATTGTCAAACTCTTCACACTAGCTTAGAAATGGTACCAGCCTTGTCCACTAGCAGATGAATGAGTAAAGAGATTGTGGCACATACATACAACAGAATTTGATTTTGCTGAAACGAAAAATGAAATCATAACATCTGCAGGAAGATGGATGGAACTGGTAACTATTATGTTGAGTGAGATAAACCAGACTTCAGAAAGACAAACACCACTTTTTTCTTATATGCTTGTCCAAGAGGCTAACCTTCTATTTACATTTTATGACTTTATAAACTTTCTATGGATGTATGGTTTTGTGTGGGTGTGCAAACGCTATGTAATGTATATGGAGGTGAGCAGACAACCTGTGAGAGTGGTTCTCTCATCCATCATGTGGGACTTGGCATCAAGCTCAGGTTGTCAGGCTTGGTGGCAAGTGCCTTTACCTGAGGAGCCATCTTGCTGGTACCATAGGTTTATTCAGTGTGTGTGTGTGTGTGTGTGTGTGTGTGTGTGTGTATTGCAGCTCTAAGCACACATACTTTAATGTCAATAGCTTAGAATTTTTTAAGTTCATTACCATTATTTTAGTTCTAGTTTTGGGTTTTTTTTTTTTTTGTTTTTTTTTTGGAGAAAGGGTTTCCTTTTACCCCTGCTGACCTGGAACTTGCTAAGTAGATCAGGCTGGCCTTGCTCTTAATGATCTGCTGCCTTTGCCTCCACCAGCTCTGGGATTAAAGGTGTGCACCACCGTGCCTGGATCATCCTTTTAGTTCTTTGAATGAAAAACTTTAAGAGATTTGATTAATCTTTTGATTATGACTAAGAATCTGACAGCCTATACAATTCTTTTTTTTTTCTCTCTCAACCCAATTTGTTTTTACTTTCTAGTATATGTTAATCGACGATTTCCAATTGTCAGTGTAAAACAATAACGTCATTTCCCACATTACAGAGTACATGTATTTGCCTGATTATAGCAGGAGATAAGATTAAATTTATTTTATTTATCAACCACATCAATTTGCTACTCTCTTATTCTATACTATTTAGTCTACCAAGAAATACACTTACACCTAACTATATATTATATTTTAACAGTGATTTTCACACATATGAACTCGAATAGTGACTATCACATGTAAATATTTAATGTTAGTAGAAAGCATTAACATTGCTATCATTGTTAATAACAATGTCCCTTATTTTTTTTATTTATTTAATAACCACATACTTAGAAGAAGCATTTCATTACAACAGCATTGACATATTCAATAACAATTTCCTGAGATAAGATGTACCTTTTTCAAAATTGGCTGTAAGTTTTTAGGTTTACAGTTGAATTATTACAGTTAAACAATATTATACTCAATATAAAACCCTATAAGACACAAAATTAAATGAGGTTTTAACCTTTAAAAAAGATCTCCATTTCATTATTAAAATACAGTTTCATACAGAAAAATTCATTTTTAATGCAATTGACATTAAGATGTTTGCACATGTGTTTCTAATCTTTATATATCTGATTATTACTAGTGACAGTCAGTTACTTTCTGAGCTCCTTGGCATCTGAGCATAAATATAAAGTCTTCAGGTAGATTTCAATGTAATATTTTTTCGCATCTACTAATTATTAAGGAGCAAATATTTATGCTTTGAATAAGAAGCATTTCATTACAGCTTTAACGTATTCAGTATCACACTCCGGAGCAACAGTACATCTCTTTCATAAGTGGGTGCAAGTTTCTAGGTTCACAGTTGAATTAATATAGTTATATATTATTGAACTCAGTATAAGCCCTGTAAGACATAAAATTGGATGCATTTTTAACCTTTAAAAAAAATCTCAATTTCATTTTAGAATATATTGTTCTTTGCAGACAGACTCATTGTTTTTGCTACTAACACTGAGATGTTGGCGCTTGCATTTCTAATCTGTATCTATCTGATTATTACTAGTCCTAATCGGTTGCACTTGGATGTTGGTGTATGCATCTCTAATCTGTATGTATCTGATTATTACTACTCATAATCGGTTGCACTTGGATCCTTGGTGCCTGTGTATGTCTATAAAGTCATCAGGTAGATTTCAATGGTATTGTTTATCACCTCTGCTAATTAACATGATGTAAATTTCCATGCTTCCTCCTCAAATTTACTACATTATTTTAAATTCATTGATTTTTTTTTTTTGATGTGTGTATATTACGCAGAACATCCCAAACCATCTTATTCAACTATACACCCACTTCCCAGATGGCACCCTCCCAGAGCCTCCCTCCCCCCACTAGAGCCCTTATACTCTGATATCCCTGCTACTGTCTGCTGTGTTGTCGGCACCCCCAGCCATTCCCCACTACTTTCCATCTGGTGAATCTAGTCAGCCTATCTAGAGGTCTTTGTTTTAGAAGAGTCAGCTGTTCCTCATCTAGCAGCAATCACTTGTCAATTTTCCTTTAGATAAGATTGGGGTCTACTGTTCTATGCTGGGTTACTATCTGGGAGTCCCTTTGGCCACCCTGGCCAACAACTCAAAAGAAGGTATCTCCTATCTGTCATTGTTGCTTGTTGTGTAGCCTTTAGCTGTGCATATGGACTCTTAAATTATACTGGCCCCTTTAATCTTTGGTAATATTTTCCTTTTGGATGTTTAAGGCCATACAGTTGGCCCAGATAAATCAATTTATTTTTATTCTTAAGGTCGTTTGAGGATCTGTTCCTCAGGGGTCACATGAGCTTGGGAGGAGCTCCTGGCTCCTTTCTTTTACCAGTTCTGCCTATGTGAAGATAAGTTAAAGGTCCTGCTCAAACATGCTTGGCTTTACTTGAAAGCCTGGAGGAAATTATTCCTCTGTGTTGACCCTCCTCTTTGTAGACTGGACACTGGTTCAAGTCCATCTGGTGGAGTCTCCGCGGCCTCCTTGATCAAGAGGACAGGTGACCCACCACAATTACAGGACATTTTGAGAGATGCTCATAGTCCCCTGGAACTAGTCAACCTAGGAGGGCAAGGAGCAAAAACTGTCCTTTATGTCCCTCTGACCAAATTATTATAGGCCTCAAAGTATGTCTGTTAAACATCCAAGAAGGTTAGTTCCACCAGTCTGGTACCTTTAATTACTGTGTGTCATGTAGATAAATCTTGTGGAAAGACCAATTATTCTCACATAAACCTTACCTAGATATATATTTCTTGATCTGCTATGTATAATTTGTCAGTAGGTTGTAGCAGTAATATAGTCCCCTCTGGTTTTCAAAACTAGCTAGGCATTGTTTATCTCTCACATTGTTTCAGCCCTCCATCATGGTTTTCCCACTTAAGGTGCCCCCATTTCCTCCTTACTCCTTTACTAAAACCCTTCTCCTACAGTCCCAACTCTTTTGAGATCCTTC